CTCTAGAGGTGGGATCTGGGTATTAGTGTTTTTAAGAAATCTTCATATGATTAAAAAGTGCAGCCAGATTCTAGAAGCACTGCAATGAGGAAAAAGAAACTCAAAGGAGACTTCTAAATTGAACTTATCTTTAATTGGCAAGATTAATTTACTTTAGATTCCCCCCCTTTATTGAAATTCTTAGATGATCCAGAGCAGGATAAGATAATTTAAAGGGAAGAAAATAAAATTTTCAAAAAAATCTGGATCTGATTTATAGTATTTTCAGCCCTACTCCACATAACAAAAATAAGAGCTAATACACACTGAGCGTTTGCCATTTGCCAGGCATTAGTTGAAGTGTTTTATACATGTTAATTTATTTAATACTCATGACAACTTAGGAAGTAGGCACTCAATATTCTACTTTAGATAAGAAAACAGTCATGGAGATGTTAAGTAACTTTTCCAGGTTCACTCAGTTAGTTAGCGTCAGAGCAAGTATTCACACCGAAGCAGGCTGTCCCCAACGCCCCCTCTTTGTCCCACCAGCTGCTGCCTCACGTCACTCAAACAATATGATATTTCTTCCTAGGCTCCTACCGTGTGATGAAATAGGCTGTATCCTCAATTTGCAAAAATGCTTTAGATTTTTCACAACTGTTGTGTGGCCTTTTAAAAACTCCAACATGTACTTCTAAATCTGCATTTGCCTATACCAACATCTATAAAAAGTTTGACAAGGTTCTAGAAAGAACTTTCACATATACTGTGTTGGTCATCATTTTCATTTTTGGTAGTGCTTTTCCCCTTCTAGACTATCAAAATATGCCTCACTAATGTTAGCCTGTTGAGCTGCCTTTAACAGGACACTCAGCTCAAATACCACTGCCTTCTTGAGGCCTTTTCTGATCCTGCCAAGGGCATATCTCTTTGCTGCGTTGACTGACATAGCCCTCTGTTCTCCCTTCCTTTACCACATTCATTTGTTGTTAGTGCAATTGAGTCAATTCTGACTCCTAGCAACCCTGTGTACAGCACAGCAGAATGGTGCCCGGTCTTTTTGTGCCTATCTCTCATCCGATGGTGCTGTATCAGACTGCTCAGCTGCTATTCATAGGGTTTTCATGGCCAATTTTATTGGAAGTGGGTGGCCAGGTCCTTCTTTCTAGTCTGTCTTAGTCTGGAAGCTCCACTTAAAACTGTCCACAATGGGTGACCCTGCTGGTATTTGAAATACCAGGGGCATAGCTTTTGGCATCACAGCAACATGCAGTCACCACAGTACGACAACTTACAGATCGGTGGTGTGGTTCCCCTGACCAGGAAACAACCCAGGCTATGGCGGTCAGAGCACTGAATCTTAACCACTAGATCACCAATCACATTCATACAGAGGCCAGATTATGTAACTGTCCAGCATTATTTATCTTAACACTTCTCCCCATTCTTCTTCTAAGTTCTTCTAGTGTATGTTCCTTTAGGCAAGAACTGTCTTATTTATCTTTGCATCTCTTGAATCATTAACACGCTGTCTTGTTCATGTTCAAAACCACATATTTCAATAAAATTTCAGGCAAATGGTCACGATTCAAATCTAACATATATAAGAAAATGGTTCCCCCTTAAACAATAAATATTACACATATAGAATAAAAAGAGTTTCAAATGGAATACACTGAATGGTGACCTCTAATAGGAAAAGTAAAAGGTGAATAAGCAAAAGCACTTCATTTCACTTTTCATTTCTAGAATAACTTGAGGTATCTTCAGTTTTTAAAAGAATTGTAGATCTCTCAAAATAATGTGCTTAAGACTATTTGTCTTAAGCTGCCATATGGGAAAAGACAATTTTAGTTGAAGTTTCTTGTCCTTCCATGTTCTCATGACATGTTCTCCTTTTGGATTTCACAGGCGGCATTGTAGACAAATACAGATTTGAAAAGATTGAGTGATAAACAGAAGTTTTTTGTTTTTCAAAATTTAAAGAATTCTATCTTTAACTCAACTGACATTTTAACTGCTACTGGTATAAATTGTTGGACTTTGGTTTATGAAAATTTTGTTTGAGTTTTTCTCGGGCACAAATATTATTCTTTGTGATTTCTAAATACCCTGTTTCGCAAGTCGTGGCATTCAGTTCTTTTTGCTTCTACGTTTTCTGGATATTTGCTACCTTAAAGAAGTAACAAGAAGATACATGTTTTCCTTTTCTTTCTTTTACCTTGTGACCTTTGAAATTAATGCTAAAAACATATCAGGCTTAACAATAATTATTCTGGCTTGTGTTTTTTTAATTGGATAAACTGTTTTCGAACCAACTGGCACTGAATTGGCTGGGGATGAACACATTTCAAATTTAATATCTACATGAACTGACAGGTATTTGGTAAAAAGACAGGTCAATCGCCTGAAGGTCAAATTCTTCCCTGTGATTTATGGAACAGACCAACAATAAACTATTTTAAATTCTGTAAATCTCTGCATCACTTTAAACATTTTTAATCTTCTAAATTCTTCTTGTACTATTGAGGTGCCTTTCAGAGATAAGTATGCTAAAAAAAAGTTTGAGAAATATTTGCCAACTCTCTGAGGAGAGCAAGAGCTCAATGGTATATTTTGAATTCTAGTTCAATTACTTTATGATAAGGGATTTTCTTTATTCACGAGTGAATGCTGCTGGTTGAAGGTAGAGTTCAGCTGTTTATATAATAACATGCAGCAATTATGATGAAACAAAACTCATTCTAGAACTCTGTTGTAACTATGGCAACCAGAATTAAACGAATTCCATTAGAAATACAAAAAGCCTCCCCAGCAGGATAGAGTAAATATTATCTCTTATTGATTTATGAAGGTTCCAGATGATGAAAAGTGGTTAATATATTTCTGTCATGAAACACATTTGTTAGGGCTTTTTTTTATTGATAGAGCCGTTGTCTATTTAAATAATGTCAGCTAGATATCATTAATTTTTACATCTTTTTTTCGATCACTTGTGCCTTCATTACAAGAAGCTATCAGCCTTTCTATTATCTTCTCTATTTTATTTCGGGGTAAGAAGGAGGATGCTTGTATTAAGGACCATTTCTGATCATGTTTGGCTAAAATCTGGCTTGACCGAAGACTGTTAGTAGAAGTGGGTTGTACATTTATTCTGAGTGAGAATTAGTTGATTTTAATATTTCATTTCACTTGCATTTCGACAAAACATACAACTCTGTTGGCTTCAGGTGACTGGTCCTTGCCGTGGGATTTGTTGGAAAAGGAAAATTAAACTCTTGGTAATTTGTTCTTTAAGGAGACTAATTTAAAATTCGATTCAAGTAATAATGTGAGGCTAAAATGGGACAGCATTATGTAGCAAGATTATAGTTTTTGTGTCCCTGAGGGTTTGACGTGCAGATGTCAGTGGGGCTCTGCATGTAAAATGCCAGCAGGTACTGTACCCACTTCTGCCTTTTCCTCAAAATCAACTCAACATTTTGTTTCTTGATTAAAATGAAAAGGTCACTATGGCTTTTTTTCCTCCAAAATACTGACAACAGTCATAAGAATGGAGCATCTGCAAACCCAGATGTGGGAGACAAGACCCGCACTAGGCATTGGTCCTGGGACCTTTAGAGCTTCTCGTTTCATTATACACATTTTCCCACGATGGCTTCTAGTCACTAAGTCCCAGTGGAAATGCTGTTGTGGTGAGTTGGGAAATGTGTTTATTCAATCACAAGTGCTCAGTCATAGAAACAAAGCCGAAAATTATGAGAAAGATTGAAAACTTCAAGACATTTAACTAATTTCCTACTCTCATATTCTTTTAACTTCTAAAAATATTGAATTGTAAGGCTGGACGTTTAGGTATGTTATATATCTTAATTGGGTTTATTTAGCCTGTATAATCTGTTTTATTTATGACTAGTTTTTTCCTGTTACTATAGATCTTGAAATTCCTGAAATAAACCACGATCAACCCAAGCACTTGTCTAAAAACGTAAATGATAGAAGAACCACAGGCTTGCCTTACTCTAGTCCTGATGCAGCACTTCTCCAAAGTCCCTGAGTTTACCAGGGCCCTGGGCCACTGTGTCAAAGCAATCTCCTAAAAGCCATTGCAATCTGATCCTTTCTGCCTGCAGTTCTAAGGAGCATGGAGCTCCAAAGTTTTTTTGGCATTTTTATGACATTTCACAGCATTCTCAGTCAGGTTGACAATCTGCTTCAAATCACAACATACAAGAATTGGAGGGGATTTCAGAGATCACCTAGTGTAAGCTGTTCATTTTGCAGATAAGAAATTGAGGCTCAGAGAGGTGAAGTGAATTGCCCAAGGTCACACAGCTCATTAACAGCACAGCTGGAGTAAGACCTATGCTCTTCTAAATCCTAATCCAGAGCTCTTTCCATTAAACCTCACAGCCTCCTGTTTTCTCTTATGTCCAGAGGAAGGTGCTTCCAGGTCTCCTTCAGCATATGAGTCCACAGACAGAAAGTAGGATTGCCCATTTCCAAACTACTCCTCCATCCATTACTGCCCATTACACATCTTCTCAGTTTTAAAGGAAAAAAAAAATTAGCCTGAACGTTCTGCTTTTATATTCATTATCTACTCTGTGCCTGTTAGTTGCTCTCGTTTTTTGGTAATGCTTTCACTGATTAACTTGGTCTTTGCAATATAAACTGGTGAAATGCATTATCCCGGGTAAATGTGACGTTATTAATGTGTTTTATTCTAGTTATGGGTCATTATTTTCGATAGATGTAATCGTCCCAGCACTGAGACCTAGCAGGTGGTCTCACTAGAAGTTATAACAGTTTTCTTAATGGTCTGGTAAGAATGTCATTTGCAGGGCAGCAAGGGCAGAGAGAAATTGGTCCCAGAGCTAGCTTGCTTCTGCACTCATTCCCAAGCTTGAGCAAGCAAAAGTAAATACATATTTTCTTACTGATCATCTGGGTATTTTTTCCTGCCTATTCATTTTCAGTAAAAGTGATGTACATTTATTTTCTATTTACAGCGCCTCCCGCCCCCAATAATACTAAAAACCCTGCAATGCCTTGCTTTTCTAATTCTTAAAGGAAACAGGGCTTATTGCCTCCTGCAAGGAACCAACGTCCGTTCAAGGAATGAGAAATGATTAAAACCAGCTGGCTAGGCAAAAGACAGAGACCACTGGGAAGCAGAAATCAAGAGACAATTTTCCCATTAGAGGTAACTCACTCTTGAGAGAATCTTAATATCAGTATGATGAGAGAAATAGAAATCGTGTATTTAAACGTTAACACCTGAGTATACGTAAGAGGCATGCACGCCGGAAATTACGGTGTATATGATCGTCCTTCTAAATTTTTCCTTGCACACAGCACAATCACAGTTCAATGACTTAATGTCTAATTGTAAGCATTAATGCCCTGATGTAATGAACTGTCTAGTTTGAGAAAGGTGTCTTGCAAAGTTTAGGGCATTCTCGGTATATTTCAGGTGCGCTGCCGCGCGTAGTTGTGTGCGTATGTGCGTGCGTGCGTGCGTGCGTGCGTGCTGGAGACGCGCTGAGTCTGGGAGACAGAGACTGAGTAGGTTTCTGGGTATAGGAATGGAGCGTTTGTGAATTGAATTAGTACAGCTGCTATAAAGTAGCAGGTTAGTCATTTATGTATTTCTCTGATTCCTCATTGTTATTCTTGTATTTCGTTGATTCTAAGATGAATGTGTTTTTCTCCCCCCACGTTTTAACTTCTCTGAAATCAAGAGTATCTTCTGCCTGCTGATGCACGGGGGCAGTTTTGCCATAGCTGTCATCACTGTGCGTGCTTGAACTTAGTGGCATGACTGGAAAAGTGCAACCCCTTGACATGTCACTCAGCATATCATTTAAGGACTGGTTGAGAAAGGAATATGAGGTGGTTAGTCTGAAGCCTTTCCAAGAAGGCACACATGTGGAATCTTGACTAAGGCGTCCAAGTAGCTTGGAAGAAAATCTTGGAGACAATAGCGAAGCATTTAAGAAATGCTATATACCATGTTCTTGTCTAAGTAAAAAGTGGTTCAGAAGTCAGTTTCTGCACACAAGTGTGGCAAATACCTAAACAAATTTCATTTACGCTTTCCTTTTTAGTTTAACAAGAATGCTATGTGAAAAGAAAAAGCTGTATCTAAAGTGTGAAAAGACTTTATAAATAAATTTTAAATAAAAATCCTAAAGAACAGGAAAACAGTTTAATTGCCAGTTTTCCTTGTGGTAAGTAATAGTACATCTTACAATCAATGACATTTTAGATTTAATAAAGTATGGAGTTTAGTCATCATATCATAGAATTAAATATTATATCTGAAGCCTAGAGATTTGGAGAATGAGTCTAGCTTGTCCCTTTTATATTTGAGAAAGTAAGGCTCAAAGAAACTAAATGAGTTGGCCATGATTGTACATCTCTCTGATATATAGGATGGTGACAAGCCAAATTTTAGAGGTCAGCACTGATGAGTGTTGTCAACTAGTCTTATTTAGTTTTAATAACACGCTATCATTTTTGTCTACTCTGAGGTTACTTCCTTCTTCTTAGGATGTTAGAATACTGCATGATCCACCAAAGTAAAGTGATAAAGTATTTCTTATATTTGGGAACCTCCCAGGAGACATAAAAACATGGCTTTTCCAACAATATATTGTAAGTTCTTTGGGGGATGGTGATGATTTCTTAATATTTCAGTAATTATTATTTGTGGGGGAAAAAAGAATAATGTTCCTTTAATATCTGGAGAATTCTAGATAAACAATGGGGACAAGAATCAGTGGCCCTGAGAATAAAACAATGTACTTTCATTTCTTTTCCACACTGCTATCTAGTATTTATTGGTTTTGTTATGGACATTCTTGTGATTTTTAATCTTTAGAGTGCATCAGAATTCCTCTTGCATTTTCCCTTTTAAACAGTTATTTTTATCAAAATGATGCATTATGTATAGATAGTTTTGAAAGCAAAAAATATGAAAGGCTTATAATGGAAAGTAGCAGTCTCTTCTTTACTTTGAACTCCAGTTGTACTCCCCAGAGGCAAACACTGAATTCTTCTCGCTGTTTCCTTGGCATTTTGAAATGCTATCTACCAAACAATAGAGTAAGACATGACTTCTTTCTTGTACATCCATATGTTTCTTAAACAGCTTTATTAAGGTATAATTGACCTATATTAAGGTATAATTGACCTACAATAAATTGTACAGATTTTAAATGTCCAATTCCATAAGTTTTGGCAGATGCTCTGACTTATAAAACCATGACCACAATCAAGACAGGGCGTATATCATGCCCACTCCAAATTTCTTTGTGCTCCTTTGTAATCCCGTCCTACCGCCACTCCCTGCAGCTCCCCCTGCCTGCCCCCAGGCGATCACTGATTTGCTTTCCATCACTATAAATTAGTTTGCATTTCCTAAAACTTTATGTCAATGGAATCATATAGTAGGCACTCTTTTTTTTTTTTTTCTGGTTTCCTTCACAGACATAATTGTTTTGAGACTTGTCCCTGTTTTTGCGTGGATCGGTAGTTTATTCCTTTTTATTGCTGATTGGTATACATTGTATGGATACACTACAGCTTGTTAATCTCTATACCTGTTGATGGACTTTTAGGTTGTTTCTTGTTTTTGGCTATTGCAAATAAAGCCGTTAACATTCATGGACAAGTCTTTCTATGGAAATATGCTTTCATTTCTCTTGCATAAATATCTAAGAGTGGAACAATTTGGTCATATGTAGTAGTATGTTTAATTTTTAAGAAACTGCCAAACTGCTTTTCCAAGTGGTTGTACCATTTTGCATTCCCATCTCCAGTGGATGAGAGTTCCACGTCTTCACCAACACTAGGAATGATTAATCTTATTTTAAGCTTAGACATTCTAATAAGTGCGTAGATGTATTTAATTGTGATTTTTATCTAATTACTAATGACAGGAAGCAGAGTCAATAATATGATAAAATGAGTGAGACACTCACCTTGGGCACAAAATTTGAGGAGGTGCCAAGAATCAAGATAAATACTATTTTAGTACAGTATTTTTTAAAATAAAAAATACTGCAAAATAACCACAATGAACAAAGTATCAAACTTTTTAAGTAGAGACAGTATTAAAATTGCTGATTTTTCCTTTTGCTTCAGATTCCAATACGGCTTGGCACTCCATTGATTGACGTTAGGAATATTTTCATGTACTTATTTACTATTTGTATGTTCTCCTCATGAATTATCTATTCAAATCTTTTGCTCTTGTGGATTTTTTTAAGATTTTTTTTATTGAGTTTGGAAATACTAGTCCTTCATTACATAATGTTTGCAAATATTTTGTCGCAGTCTGTGGTTTGTCTTTTCTTTTTTTCAATAGTGCCTTTCAAAGAGAGGAATTTCTTAACTTAATGAAATGATCAATTTTATCATTTATTAATTTTATGGATTGTGTTTTTGGTGTTGAAAGCAAACTTCACTTAACCAAAGATCTCAGATTTTTTACTATTTTTTCTACGAGAAATTTTATAGCTTTAGGTTTTACAATTAGATATGTGACTCATTTTGAGGGTTAATTTTTGTATAGATCAGAGTTCTTTTTTTTTTTTTTGGCATATGATTATCCAGTTGTTCCAGCACCGTTTGTTGAAAAAACTATTCTTTCTTCATTGAATTGGCTTTGAAGATCTGTTCTCTTCTGCAGAATTTTCATATTTTCCTTCAGAGATGTTTTGGCTGTTTTAAGTCCTTTATAATTCCATATGAATTTTAAAATCAGGTTGTCAGTTCCTATGGAAAAGGCTACTCAATTTTGATTGAGATTGCATTGAATCTCTAGATCTACTGGGGATAAATGGTATCTTAACTATAATGAATATTCTGATCCATGAACATGGTTTCTCTCTCTCTTTATAAAGATGTTCTTTAATTTCTCTAAGGAATGCTTTGTAGTTTTCAGTGTATAGGTTTTGTACATTTTTTGTCAGATTTTTCCCTGTAAATTTAATACTGTTTGATGCTATTGTAAATGGATTTTTTAATAACTTCACCGTCTGATTGTTGCTAGACTATAGAAACGCAATTGATTCTTCTGTGTTGATCTTGTATCTTATAAATTTGTCAACTTATTAGTTCTAGTACATTTTTGATAGAGATCATAGAATTTTTTCCATGGGTGGTCATATTGTCTTCAAATAAAGCCACTTTACTTCTTCCTTTCCAATATGGATTTTTTTATTTCTTTTACTTGCCTCACTGTACTAGCTAGAATGTTCAGTGCAGGTTTGAGTGGATGTGCTGAGTGAACATCTTTGTCTTCTTGGTGTTCTGAGAGGGAACTTGCTTATGCTTTCACCATTAAGTGTACTGTTAGCTGTAGGTTTGGGGAGGATTCCTTCTGTTCTCTTCTGTTTCTAGTTTGCCAAGAGTTTTTAATTAGAAAGGTATATTGGATCTTGTCAAATTCATTTTTTTGTATTTATTGAGGTGATCATATCCTTTTTCACTTTTAGTTTGTTAATATGTTCAATTACATTGATTAGTCTTAGAATATTCAACTGATATTCCATTCCTGGGATAAACTCCACTTGGTTGTGATGTATTATCTTTTCTATGTATTTTTGGATTAGATTTCCTAAAATTTTATTTTATTTTATTTTTTATTACAGAATTTATTCATTCATCCAATAAATCTTTTTCGTTGAGGTAACGTTAGTTTATAACGTTATATAAATTTCAGGTGTACATCATTGTATTTCAGTTTCTGTATAGGTTACATCATGTTCACCACACAAAGACTAATGATAATCCATCCCTATACACGTGTGCCTAATCACCTCTTTCGCCCTCCTCCCTCCCTCCTTCGTCTCTGGTAACCACCAATCCAATCTCTGTCTCTGTGTCTTTGTTTGTTGTTTTTATCTTCTGTTTATGAGTGAGATCATATCGTATTTGACTTTCTCCATCTCTTATTTCACTTAACATAATACCGTCAAGGTCCATCCATGTTGTTGCAAATGACAAGACTTCATCTTCTTAAAAATAATGTTTGTATATATATTCATGAGAGTTATAGTTCTATAGTTTTCTTTTAATGTTTTTGTCCAGTTTTGGTACCAGAATATGCTGGCCTCATAGAATGAATTAGGAATTGTTTCCTCTTCCTCTATTTTTCTATAAGTTTATATAAAATTAGTATTATTTCTTAAACAT